ATATATAAAAATATAAAAATTAATTTATTATTCGTATAATTATTTAAAAAAATAATATATATCGAAATAAATATAAAAAACTCAGATACAAGAACAAAAACTATTAAAAGGATCGAGAAGAGGAACAGGAGACAAAACCCGTCCGGTCGCGATCCGTTCAGATGCGATGCCTAGGATAGAAGCAGAAAAGAAGAAAATATTAAAACGCGGAACCCAGTCATTCGAACGAGTCAAAGTCAAGAAAATATTATTTGAATGAATGAAGAAACTTGGTGGCCAAGTTCAGAAGCATCACCAAGAAATTACTTTGGATTCCCACCATAAAAAGGCAAATGAACTTGATTTTCTGAAATCAATTGGAAACAGTTATATATCACACATTTAAAACATTCATTCTCGATCCTAAGAAGTTTGAGTTCTTTCAGTAGTTTCATAATTTTCTTCATAAACCGTTTACCATAACTAGCATAAATTTTGCATCAGTTCTGGTTGATCTTGAGACCAGCTTGAATTGCAGAAGCAAGATGGGTCATAAAAAAGAGAAGAAGAATGGCTCTCTGTTCTCAACAGTGAGATCTTTAGCAGTGTTCATATTTGGAGGAAAGTTGAAGAAGAAAAATAAAAGCGCAACACCTGGTGGTGGACCTGTGGCCACCATGATTGCTGCGTCCAAGCATTTCTCTTCACCTCACAAAGTGCGGTTTGGTTAATTAATTTAGATACTTTACCATATTGTATAGTTGAACTGTATAATTTGATTCCTATAAAACAATTTTAAAAAATAATAAAAAACATTATGTCAAACTCTTGTATCGAGAATTAGTCTGTATTGTATTTACAAACACTAAAAAAAAAAAAAACTTATTATTTACCTGCGGAATTACATTACTGTCAGTAGATGCACTTACTTGAACAAAAGTTTAAACTATTATAAAATATTATCACTGATACGAATCAAATATTTAAAATCAGATATTCCAACGACTAAATTATTAGATACTATGATAATAATTTATAAATAAATTATATTTATATTTATTTGTGTAAATATATAAATATAAAATATATAAATACAAATATATTTATATTTTCATATATTTATATATATTTATGTATTTATATATTTATATGGATATACATTTATTTATAAATAAATATAACTTATTTATAAGTTATTATAAAAAAAATTTAGTATTTAGTGATTGAAGTATTAGTTTTCAACTCTAAGATATTGTATATAATGTACTAATTTTTCTACGAATTTTTATCTATATGTAATATTTTATAGATAATAATTTTTTTTAGTGAAGACCCAAATTTTCAAAGAAGAAATTCTGAAGTCAAAGTCTAAATAGTATGGTAACAGAAAACCTTTCTTCCATTTTTGTTAATCCTTTTAAATTTGTGTTATGTAAATGCTATGATTAAAATGAAAATTTGATATAAATTACCTATGGATACACATAGGTAATGGATAATTTATTGTACATAATATATAATTTATTTATTACCTACGGATTTTTACTTGTATATAATATTTTGTAAATAATAAGTTTTTTTATTTATTTTGTGAAGACCCAAGTTTTCAAAGAAGAAATTCTGGAACCAAAGTCTAACTTGTATGACAACAGAAAAATTTCCTTCTATTTTTGTTAATTCTTTCAAATTTGTGTTATGTTATGTAAGTGCTATGATTAAAATGAAAATTTGATAGAAGTTACCTATAGTTAAGTTTAAAGTTGAATTGTTATAACATATCGATTAGTGCATATAGGGGGAATTTTCAAAATTATAGTAAAAAATTATTGACTAATTTGTATGTCTCTTTATAAATCAAATAAAGTGATCTAAGTAAACTTTTAAGTTAGGTTAAGTTTTTAACTTAATCCAGATTTAGACTTAGCTAATAATATTTCAAATAAAATTATACTAGTAATGTTTTAACAAAGGTCAAATTGTAACAGAAAAAGCGTTATGATATAACTTTAGTATTGAGTAGATGCTTGAGTTTAGGTACTAGACCCTTATCAGTGACGAGTTTGTGTCCTAAAATCCCAACTCCGTGGCTTCCATGCGAGCCATGCAAATGAATTTTTGTTGCCTTTCATCCTTGGCCACAAACTGGAAGTGGGTTTTTGGAATGTACTTCAACTTCATTATTTTGTGGTCTCTAAAACCTAGCACCTTAATTATGAACGTCTTTTATGTTTGGCAGTTGTGTGTTTGAGTGCTTGAATAACCCTCCAGAGCCCTTTTTGGGCCCCCATTATTGGTCTCCTGTCTACTCACGTGGGACTTGATAATTTTTCCAACCGTTATAATCCTAATTTTATTAAATTTTCAATTAGTGGTTTCTGAATATACTTTTTATGTCACTTGCTTGGCTAGATAGTAGGGGTCCTGTTGCAATAATGGTCCACATGAATCACGATGCAAAGGTGTTGTCATGTCACTACACCCATTCATTCACCCATTCTCCTTCACAGTTCATCATCCCCAACTCATTTCAACTTTCATCTCCCTTCCATCCTCAATTCAAGGCACATGTTTAGAGTATGACTTTGGTCTATCCTTATACAGAATGCAGTTTGCTAATGAATCTCAATTCTCAGTTCAAATCTCCCATGACTCAACACATCAAAATGAATGCATGCATTATATTCAAACACAATAAAAAATAACACAGGATTTACATAACAAAAATATGTCTTTCAAAAACAATTATTTACAAATATATTTTTATTGATTAACCTTTTTCTTTTGTAATTAAAAGAAAAAAAAAACTCTCATTAACTAAAAGACAACCAATAATATAATAAGAAATTAGAATAATATCCCTACAAAAAGCTATCACTCAAAATCCAAATTTAAGTTAAGTCTAAAATGTAAAATTTGTAACTGTACATTTTAAACAAATACATTTCATTTTTGTGGCTCAATTCACCGTGTCTTCAAACTTATTGAAACAAAAATAATAGTTAAATTATTTAATTGTATTTGTTTTGATTTATACATGAATATTTATTCAATATTGTTGACATGTAAAGAAATTTAATAAAATTTATTTAATATATATTAATTATATGGTATAAATATTTTTTTCATTATTTTTATGCATAATAAATAAAATATGGATACTTTTTGCATCTATTTTTAAACATTTTTACCTATGGTTCTTGTTCATGAGTACATCCCCTATGTCATATTTGAAGTATTACACCTCATTTACACATTTTCATTTTTTTCTTTAATTTCTCCATTCTCTTTCTACTTAGAAAAATATAAAGAAAATTAAAGTGTTTCTCCTATCATTAGTCATAAATAATTATTATTAAGCAAAATTTAATTCATTTTAGTCTCTAAATAATACATGATCTCTCTCTCTCTCTCTTCTTTTTCTTTTTTTCGTGGTTAAATGTTGTTATACACACATTCATGTTCCAAGTGTAAATTTGTTTGTTACTTTGCTTGGTCTCACATTTTATCACGAAATTTATATTTAGTTATTAAACATTTTTTTTATCGATTATAAGTTTATTCATAAACATTTTTAGAAGAGGAAAATAAGAAGAAGAAAAAAATATGTTTCTCCACAGATTAAAATTAGTTTGTGTATAATTTTTCTTATTTATTTTCTCTATGTTTTTTTTAATTTGTATATAAATTAATTTTACCTTACGGACTCATTGTGTTTTTTTTTTCTTTTTATGGAAAAGTTTGTTTAAACAAACTCTTTTTGAGGACTTCCTTAAGAGAAAAAAAGAACTCCTAAATTTAAAACTAGGTGATACATAAATTAATCTGAAAAAAATTCTCATACTTTTTTTTAATTTTATTTATAAATTAATCTCAACTTATAAAGACAATTATTTAAATTATTTTTTTTATAAAAGCTTTTGTTGGAATGATTTTTACCATTCACTCTGGGATCAATTCGTTTGTAGGGGTGTAAAAGTAAAAAAATATAATAAAAATCTCTTAGTCAAGAAAAAGGAAAGGAAATGAGGGTAAAAGATTAAAAAAATATATTATTTTATAAGATTTTTTATATTAGATAATTATTTATTATTATATTTACCATTCAATTTATGCATATTAATATTTTTATTCAGATATTTTAGCATAGCATAATAAATATAAAAACGATTAAATGAATAATTTAATATAATTTATATTTTTATATATAATATTATTAGTTTAAATTAATTTTTGTAAGATAATATAATTATATAATAAAAATATTTTAAAATTATATATCAAAAGAATATACAGTTATTTAAAAATATAATTTTATGATAAAAGTATATTTTAATAGTAAAACTATATCTTAATTTAAAAGTATTAATTTGAAAATTATTTTATTCATAACAAATAATAATTATAAAAAGTTATATATATACATATATTATTTTAATTTATTATTTTTAAATAAACAATTATATATATATATATATATATATATATATATTCTCAAACCAATATTTAAAATAATCTCTCTTTATTTTTTTTATTCATATTTTTATTACAAAACATACCCTTGATTATTTAGCTATTTATTATTAATTCTAATATCTTACAACAAATTTAACATAATGAGAGGAATGACATGTTTTTAGTTTTTAAACTTAAATTTTAAATTATTATTTAGGTTGTATCGTTATTTTCTTAATAGTATAAAAATTACCATTAAAATTACAAATTTATTATCTCAATCTGTAATTAAATGATAATATTGTTATAATAATATTACTTTAATTAAATTTACGATAATAAAAAAAAAACACGTAAAATAGTTGTCAAAGCTTGTAGATACCCAACGTGGACCAAACTATACTTTTTTGTAATTATCATGATTCAGGTAAAGACTCTGCAAATTTTGAGAGAAGTAAGAATAAGAGTGGGGGGGTCGGTTTATTGCTAAATGAAGAAGGCTCACGAGACACGCATGGGCTTAACCACATCCTATCCCTCCTTCTTCTCTCTCCGCTGCTGACTCACTCATGTCCGTCACCGGAAACACCAACTGCCACCTGAACGCCGCCGGCGAAATCCTTTCTCGAAATCTCACTCCCACGCTCACACCCAATTCCCCCTTCTCCTTCCCTTTCTCAATTCCCCATCTGGGTATCCCTGTTTCCCTCAAAGTTCTCTTCTTTTCCGTGATTCAGAACTGGTCAGTGATACCGTTTTCTTAGAACAATGAGAGCAGGGAAAGGGAGCCAGGAAGAGGATGAGTACGAGGAAGATGACTTCGGTTCTTCCAAGAAACAAGGGACTTCCTCTGCCCCCAATGCCAACAAAGGTACCCCTTTAATTTTCATTGAAAACATGTTTGTATGGTTACATGTAATTCGTACGTGATTACATGTAACTCCTACGTTATTGTTAGATCCAACTATCGGGTGGTTCTTTGTTTCGTTTGAGGTTGTCGTGGTTTTCCCCACTTTATTATGTTATGGATAGTGTTAAATCTACTGATGTGAGTGTTTTTTTTAAAAGAACACTTTTTTGGAATATATTTTGAATTCGGCGAATTTAATTATTTGGGGTAAACTTTTATTTGGTGAATGAAATGTGGAATTGGATTCATTTGCGATCTCAAGTTCATGTTTGAATAAATATAGAGTTCTGGTTGTTATAGCAGATGGAAAAGCCATTGATAAGGCTAGTGCGATAAGATCGAAACATTCTGTAACAGAGCAGCGGAGAAGGAGCAAAATAAATGAGAGGTATGTCTTGTGTTATTGCTAAGTCTAGTGCTCTAGTACATTGAGTGTTCTAGTAGAAACTGAAAAATTAAGTCATAGCTTATTATTGGCAATGAATGGTTTAAATAATTGTTGATTGTCTGACACTCAACGCCGACAAAAACAACAAAGCCTTATATGACTAGGTGAGATCGATGTGATGAATCTCATGATGCCATTTGACTCGGTTAAAGACCAAAGTTTCCGAGATATATGAGGAACATTTTATTTGATGGATGGTGAGCTAAAGGTGAATATGTTCGTCAGCAGTTGTACATTGCTGTGGATTTTGTTTTTTTTTTTTCATTTTTTGCCCAGATGCAGAGACTTGGTTGTAAGCATTTTGGGAGTATGTTATTGTTTAGGCGTTTCTTCACATTTGGAATGAAATTCATGTTAATGATTGTGAAAAGCTTCTTAAATTTGTTGTAAAGAGCAATAACATATCGAAAATCAATTTCATATAAGGTTCTTCTATTATTCTTATCCTTTTCAGATCAAAACCTTTTGATATTATAGTCTGAAGTCTTATGTGTTATACTACATGATAAGTCTAAACTGGATTTATGAGGTCCTCTGTATTTTTTCCAATTAATTTAGATATCTTGAAATTTTATTGGATTCAGTTGGAGTTTGATGATTGGTAACCTTTTTCTCCAGATTCCAGATATTGAGGGATCTCATACCTCATAGTGATCAAAAGAGGGACACAGCATCATTTTTGTTAGAGGTAAACTTGTAAAGTGAAAAATAATTATATTTTTCTTGTTTAAATTGGTTCAGAATGTCTAACAACCTGTCAATCTGTTGTGTTCCTTTGCAGGTTATCGAGTATGTTCAGTACTTACAGGAGAAGGTACAAAAGTACGAAGGTTCATATCAAGGTTGGGGTCAAGAGCCCTCAAAGTTGATGCCATGGGTAAATTACAAAAACCATAATGTTTTAGGATCTTTTGCTTTTAACTATATGCAAATTTCTTATTGTATAATAATGGTTAGCCAAAACAAAGTCAAAACGCTTTTTAGCATGCAAAAGTGCTGACATGAAGTTTGGCAAAACCACTATGGCGAATATGTTGACAACTGGGTACAAAGATGCAAAGAAAATTATTAATGAAAATTAATGTAATAGGGATATATAGTGAATTAGAAGATCAGCGTTCTTTATTTTTAACTATTGTTCATTATATCGGTGTCAACTTTAGTTTGAATTTCTATTTTTCCCAAATTGATAACAATTATTTGATTTATTAAATAGCCAATAGTGTAAATAAATGAGGGACAATTCTCATCTCATGAGCTAGCTTTTTGGAGATGAGTTAGGACCATAGCCAAACGTATAAGATGGTATTTTATGATTGTTGTTGACCTTCCGAGCAATCTGATATCATATTAGCCACTCGATGACAAACCTGCAAAACCTCATGCTCAAGATATTCTCAAGTGAGAAGTGTGAGTTGGAGATCCCTTATTGTCTACTAATATAGGCGAAATAGTGTGTTGGGTTATGAAAATATATTATTAATTATTGTAGGTGGTGGAGCTCTTATTAATCGTGGCAGGTGATAGAGTTCTTATTAATTGTGATAGGTGGTAGTGCTCTTATTAATTACGGTAGATGGTAGAACTCTCTATATAATGTACTTCCTTGCACTCTAAGTTTCTATTTTCTTCCGCTAATTTTCAAGTTGGTATCAAAGCTCTCAATCTTGGGGGATTTGCTTTCACATTCAAATCTGCCGCTGCCTTAGTTGTTGTTTCTCTTTTTACAATTTGGGTTGCTTGAAGTGCACCCACCTTACTTTTTGGGTTGTCTGAAGTGCTCCCATCATTGTTCCGATTGCATTCACTATTTGTGCCGCTAGTATAGTCTTGAAGAGGCAATTCCAAATGTCCTTTGTACCTTTGGTATAGGAATATTCATTGAGTTTCGTGAGTTGTCCTTTGTTCTTTGGTGCAAGAATATTCATTGACCCATATGGATAATGACTCAGGTTCATCTTGCAAGGATATTTTTGTGGTTGCTCCAAACAAGGTTATTTCTATTTTTGAGTCAGGATCAACACCAGATACTAGTCATCCAAGGGGTCTCTTTCTTATACAATATCAAAGGAGATTGATGGAACCTGTCGAAGAACAATTCCAATCTCTCAATTTGTATCCACTAAATACTATTATTCCTACATCAGTTGTAGAGGTAATAAAAGATAAGAGTTGGCTTCAAGTCATGAATGAAGAGATGGGTGCCTTAGAAAAAAATCAAACTTGAGAGATTGTTCACACATAGGCCATAAGATAAGAAGGCTATAGGATGTAGATGGATCTACACTGTGAAATATTAGTTTGATGGTACATTGGACTGTTACAAAGTGAGGTTAGTTGCATAATAATATACTCAAACCTACGATATTGACCATAAAGAGACATTTACTTTAGTGACAAAGATGAATACAATCATGATCATTCTCTCATTGGGTGCACATTTTGGTTGGGAACTACAATAGTTTGATGTGAAAAATGTTTTTGTGCATGGGGATCTAGAGGAAGAAGTTTACATGCGAATTTTGCCTTGAGTTGGATCTATTGAAGGGATAAATAAGGTGTTTAGATTGAAGAATTCCTCGAATCCTGTGCCTAGTTTGGGAAATTTACTTAGACAATGTTTTCCTTGGGATATTGATAGAGTCAAGGTGACCATATTTTGTTTATCAATCATTCCTCAGATAGAATCTTACCCTTCTCTTGGTCTATATTGATCTTGAACAAAAAGCTTGGTCCCAAATTTGGGATGAGAGATCTAGGAAAATTAAAACACTTCCTTGGGATTGAAGTTGCATACTCAAGGTAGGGCATCTTTATCTCCCAAAGGACATGTTGTTGACCTTCTAAGAGAAATTGCAAGGACACTAGAGTAGCGTTAGAACAAAACCATAAAATTGGGAGTGATGAAGATATTCCTGCAGTTAATAAGGCCTAATATCGAAGACTTGTAGGGAAACTTATTTACTTAGCCCACATTAGACTAGACATAGCTATGGTGTGAGTGTGGTTGGTTGCGACAGTGGTCAATTAATTCATGCATGATCTTAGAGAGTGTTACTTAAAGATTGTTAATAAAATCCTTCAATATTTGAAGACAAGTCTTGTAAAGGGTTTGGTGTCTATGAAGGATGTAAAATTCAACATGGAGACTTGTTACTGATAGAAGGTTCACGTCAAGATATTGCATGTTTCTTGGTGAAAAGTTGTTGACTTGGAAGAGTAAGAAACAAAATGTAGTTGCAAGGTCCAGTGCAGAGGCTAAATTTCAAGCTATGGCACAAGGGGCGCAGGGATTATTATGGCTATTTTGATTGATTTTAAAGTGAAATGTGAAGAACTCATGACTCTCTTTTGTGACAATAAATCAAATATTAGTATTGCTCACAATCTTGTCCAGCATGATAGGACCAAGCACATAGAGATAGATTGACACTTCATCAAAGAGAAAATGGATAGTGGCCTTATACTTCCTACATCCCATTAGGACTTTAACTTACAAATTTGTTTACAAAGGGAATTCTCACATAATGGTTTCATGATCTTACATGCAAGCTGAAAATGACTGATATTCATTCTCCAATTTGAGGGGGAGTGTTGAGTTAAAAAAAATATTATTTATTATTATAGCTGGTGGAGCTCTTATTACTCATGGTAGGTGGTAGAGATGTTATTAATTATGGTAGGTGTTATAGCTATTATTAATTATGGTCCGTGGTAGAGCTCTTTTACTTATAATGGTAGGGTGGCAGAGCCCTCTAGTAATGTACTTCCTTGTACTGTTTGAATTAAGATTCTAATTAGAATCGAATTTTTTATTTTCTTCCCCTAATCCTTTTTCAAGTTAGTGTGTATTGTTCTAGCAAAACACTTTCTAACAAACTCCTAACACATTTTATCATTGGTTAATTTTTGTTGAAAACGACAAAAATAGGAGAAAGACTCATTAAATAAGAAGTGAGGCCTATGAAAATTTGTAATTTCCAGTCAATTTCAGCCAATAATACTGTGTGTTCAAAATATGGTTAGAAAGTGTGTTGCTAACATTTTTCTTTATCATTTAAGGTACCTTGGTTGTCATCAAATTTGTTTTATTGCATTTGGCTGATCTATCAACTTAAGTACTCAACTGATAGTGTAGAGTAATTTGAGCTTTTTTTGGTAAACATCTCTATAAGTACTTTTACAAGGAAAAACTAAAAATAATGAAATAATTTTTTTATAAATTGGTTTGAAGAATCTCTTTCATATTAGCTTCTTCAATAGTTTTAAATTCATAAAATAAGCAAGTTTTAGCTTATAAAAAAACTTATTTTATTTTTTCTTCGTATTTTCTTCTCTTAGAAGTATTTATGGAGCCATTAATACAAACACGCCCTTATTCTTTTAGCTTGCTTAACTGTATTAATACAGAGAAATAGTCATTGGCGTGTCCAAAGCTTCGCTGGTCAACCTACATCTATAAAGAATGGTCTGGGTCCTGTATCACCTTTTCCTGGGAAGTTTGATGAAAGCAATATTAGTATCTCCCCAACCATGCTTAGTGGCACACAAAACACAATAGATCCTGATCAGAACAGGGATATGGTCAACAAGACAGCAGAGAGGCAACCTGATTTAGCGAGCAAGGGAATACCTCTTCCCTTGCCTATGCATGCAAACATGTCCGTACCTGTCAGAAGTGATGGTGTACATGCACATCCTCTTCAGGGAACTGTTTCTGATGCACAATCAACTGAATGCCCAACTACTAGTGAACTACAGAGTCAGCAAGATGAACTCACAATTGAAGGAGGGACAATTAGCATCTCAAGTGTATACTCCCAAGGGTGGGTACTTGCTTAAAATTTCTCTCTGTTGTTATTATATTTATTATTATTATTATTTCTGTAAGATTGCAAGGTTTTGTTGATATGGATGTTTGATACACTAGATTTAAAGAACTTTCTTATGATATGGTGTTAAAATTTTATCATGCCCGGTTTTGTCTTTTCAATGTTTGTTTTTAAGTTGCTAGTCTATTTGAGTTATAATCTAATGCTTGTTCATGTTACATTGTTGCAAAGACCTTGATAATGCTCTCATATTTGAAATTGCAAGGCTATATGGATGCTGATTTCATGTACTCAGCTTATTCAATTTTATTCTCTGTTTCACTTATGCATGATCATGTCTGAGCTGTGGCTTTCTTTGTCTTGGTTGAGGGCACTAAGAGATTCCCATATAGGTGGGTCTTGCTTTTATGAAAGAAAATATAGAAAAGGGAAAAGGGGAAAATTCCATTATACCTCCAAAGGAATTGGATAATTTGCATTTTTTCCCCCATTTTGATGGGTGTGGAATTTAGTTGCATGGTCTGTATTGTGTGGGTTATCAATTCATCGTAGGCATCATGATGCATTTATTGGACAGCTAGTGCTCACATTAATCTGGTTGACATTCTGAAGACAACAGTTATTCAGGTTATAAGAACTCAAATAAATTGGCATCTGTAAAAGTTGATGGTCATTGTTGCCGTGATGTTTCTTGGTGTTGTAAAGATTTCTAATGGTCTTCTTGAGAGTACAAGCTGAAATTATTAATTTATAAGTTTCAAATGTTATGACTCCTGTTAAGTTCCAGTAGTACTATTTTGGAGCCTCTAGATGCTTCTTCAGACGTTTAGAATTAAAGTCTTTGTCATCTTTTAATAACACAAGTTTTAAACCATTTTAAGTGCAGGCTATTGAATAATCTAACTCAGGCACTACAAAGTGCTGGTTTAGATCTGTCACAAGCTAGCATCTCAGTTCAGATTAATCTCGGAAAACGAGCAAACAAAGGATTGAGCTGTGGGACCTCTTCTCCCAAGGTATATAATGACATGTTATCTTTATTAATTGTTGCATCTTTTTATTGCACGATGTCTAAGAAGATTTTGATACACTATCAGTGTATATAATATAAAAGTGTTGTAGAAAGAATATCATAATTTGCCTCTGACACTAACAAAAAATATTAAAATTATTGTCTCACAAAATTCATATTTTGGATGAAATTATGGGATTCATTTGACGAGTATTTTATTGAATTGAAGTCTGACTACTTATGCCTGATGTGTTTAGGCTGGTTCTACTATTGCTTTAGGCAGAAATTATGTGAATCTCACTTGTGCCTTAAGGTAGCGGTAAATTTGCTTCTGAACATGTTGTTGTTGAAATCTCTCAAACATAAAACACTAGATTATTTTCAATTGACGTAAGAATTACTTTTTTAACCTGTAACAAATGGACCCATAATCTTTAGAGGCCATTGTCATCCTATGAATTAAAGTTATAACTCAAATATAAACTCAACCACGAAGAGACATTCTTTTATCAAGATGGCCTTCCCATTGTGCTATGCTCAGAATGTGACAGGGGGCATAAATCTGAGATTGATAGCCATTTGATTTAATTTACCACTCAATGTTAAGTTTATTAATATTTGAAACTAAAAATGGGAAGGATCTTTGATGATATTCTTCTCAATGATTTATTTGATGAAAGTTTGATTAAGTGGCATCCTCCAAAGTGAAAAATATGCAAAATTTCAAGGACTTAGTGTATGCTGATCCTTCTTATTTGTGTTAAGCAGAATCATGATGACCCTCCTTCAAACAATCAAACAATTGCACATTTTAGAGATGCAGGCAGTGGAGAAGACTCGGATCAAGCACACAAACGAATGAAAACGTACAAGTGATATATGTGGCATTTTCATGAGCATCCACGTGCATTAGATTTCTTACTCTTTCCTGGCGCAGCATATCCCTCGTGTCTACTGTACATCCTTCCTCATTTGTTTGACTTTTTTATGGTTATTTTAGAACCATATAGACCTTGAAAACGATCATTTGTGCAGATATTGAGGCTTCTACTGTGGTGGAGCATGCCATCTATTTTAGTTGTATGATACATTATATCATAGTTATTCAGTATTATTTGAGCTTTAGTTTGGCAATTTTATGATATATATATATATATATATATATATATATATATATATATATCATTTTGGTCATTTTGAATGCATTTGGAGAGTGTTTGGAAAAAGAATGCATTTTTTGATATGTTTTTAGAGTCACTTTTTAAAAGTTAATCTTTATAGTTTGTTTTTAGAGGCACCTTTTAGAAGTTAACTTAATACAAACTATTTTTCTTTTAATGTGTTTTGTTTTTATTTTATTCCCTTGAAACAATTTTGGGAGCTTGTGCGAACGTATCAGAAACATTTTGTTTCTATTATGGCAATGAAAAAACTATCAGTTTCATCCATAAAGGTTTACTCTCTTCTCTCACTTGAATTTAAGTAATCTTTAAAGTAGATATAATGTGGATAAACTATGAGATGAGGTCACTCCATATGTCAATAAATTCTTCCATTAATGAGTCCATCACTATGATGATACTAGATTTGGATATCGATGAAGAGGAATCACAATCACAATTTATCCATTGTAAATGGATCATTTAACCCTCACATATTTTAATAATTGATTAATGATCTTATTTATGTGACTAGTTGAATCTAGGATGTTCTCTGCAATATCCTTTGGAGAAACTTGAAGGAGAGTGTTGATAGCTACACGTTAAAGCTTGCATTATAGGCAATCATGTGGTACACATTAGCACTACTAAGAACTAGTTATCACGACGGTAGGATTCAAATAAAAGAAAATCATTCTCTCAAGAGACAATTACTCTGAACCACTCTCAAATTTTCATTCAATTAAAAGTGTCTTACAAAGAAGCAAGAGGGAAAAAAAATAAATTAAAATTCACGTTTAAATTTTGGATATAGAAAGATTCTGTAGTTGGTTATAAGCTAGGAGACGTGTGTCATACTTGCTTGACACTTTCTATATTCCAAGATGTCTTCTTTGGTTCTTTTATTTGGTCGAAATATTAGATTTTGATTGAATCTTCCATTTTTAAAACCAAACTACAATCACAGAAAAAAAAAAAAGTGTTGAATGTACGATCTTGAAGATTCATTTTGGATTTTGAGGGAGGCTTTCAACTAATCAATGTAATTAAAATATTTCTTACAAAAAAAAGCTAAGTAAATGAAGATACAATAAAAGGTTCGACCAAGATGTTAAATAGTTATTATACCAGTGATTGAACTTAATGGTACATTATATGATTAAGAATTCAAATGACAAGTCAGTGTGATGCTTATGTTAATGAATCTCTTCCACTCTAGTTCAATTCTACGACTAAATGGAGCATAAAATCTTAGCCAGTGATGTAAATTTAATTATGGTCCATCAACAGGTGATAAGCATTCTTGTGGGTTTGTATAGAAATAGTCCTCTTCCTTGGGATTTCCAGGCACCAACGATCTTGTAGATGGGTTCCCTACACGTTCTGCATGAGCTACCTTCACTGATGTGGAGAACTGGTACCAGCTTATGGTCCCATTTTTGTACTGGTCTATGAGATTAACCAGAGGTTTTCTGTTTAGAAGAATTGTCTTCTTGAATCCCAAATACCTAAAAGCATAACAAAATCAAACAATATTTTTATTGATTCAAAGTCATGACTAATCTCTCTCAAAACAATATGCTTGGCCATATTTTGTAACTGTCTATATTTACGAGAACCTAAAATCTTATTTAAAAAGATCGAGTTTAGTACGACTAAGACCACCCAACGACTGTTAGTACACAATTAATCAATATATGGTAAAGAAATTTTAACCATTTCAATGCTAACAAGTTTCATGCAAAAAATAAATAAAATTATGCACCTTCTGTGGCCTTCAACTAGTTTTGCCATATTCCCTTTGTATGATGGTATAAATATATCACTCTCTATTGACACGTAATAATCCAATGCTGCCATTTGGTTTGCATGGTTCCGGAAAGGATCAAGCTCTGAGGGTTCCAATAATGTCTCCTTCTTAACCTGTTGAGGTAGTTAATAAATAATGAACAAATGTTCCTCTTGTTTTAATTGCCAGAAATTGTTGATTGGAGTTCTGAAAAGGTTGTGTTTACCAACCAGGTTTGGGAAGGCTTCTTTGAGACTTGCCATTCTTTTTTCTGATTTGTATGTTTCCCCAGCAGCAATATAAACTTGAATATTACTATGAATGTTCAGTGCACTTAGTGTTAGAGCAGTTTCCTCAGGAGTCAGAGGGCAAAGACCATCTCTTCTTTTCTTCTCAGAATCTATCTCTTTCTCTTTCCACCATGGATAAGAATATCTAAACAAATTGCAAGAACAAACAATTATTTTAGTGTAATATATTATTGGTGCAAAGAAAGTTAATGCAAGTATCAGGAAAAAGAGTAGATAGTATTGTTTTTAATCTTGTGAAAAGGGTGTGAAACGAAGAAAGACAGAAAAAAAATTATTAGTTTGATCTTATGGTGAACAAAATTTCTGATATAGCCTAATTTGCCTAGTGTCATAAGATTTGTGTAGTTGTTGTGTTAACTAGCTTCTGTTATAAAATATGCAAGTTGATCCAACTGTTTTTTCCAATTGTGAGGGGGGGTGTTGGGAGTGTAGAAGTGTGTGATGCTAAGTGATACTTATTTTAAGTAGAAATACTAGTCATAGAGGAAAAGCTTAAGTCCAATTACAACATTGCTTGGTTGATTAGAAAACTTTAATAAAAGGTTGATTATGTAGTGTGTACAAGTGGTGTGAAAACCAAAAATTTAGAACTGGCCACTTTCTCATGTTGAATGAATAATGTTACTTACCTCATTTTTGTTAACTCATCAATTTCTTCCGTGTTGCATCCTTCATTGCAGCCACTGAAAGCAACCATGTCCATTTCATATCTGAGATGAAGGGCCAAGAAAGGCCCTCTCGCCTTAAGAATCTTAACAATCTTCTTGGCCAATTGCTCAATTGGAGGAACAAACCTCAGAGCATGGTAGTTAACTCGGCACCGAAATTTTTGAACTTCCTCAGGAACCCCATTATTTGCAAGTCTTGCATCAGATTTAGTGAAGTGTACTACCCCATATGTTTTGATACGGGGAAGAATCTGCAATTTTTTAATTTACAGATTTTGAAGTTAACTTTTATATGATTTGACAAGTTATCCACATTAACATCGTAACTTTATGCTAGAAGGTGACCTACCACATCATAGTAATATGACATATTTGACCAACTAATGGGTGGCATGGAAGAGAGGGACTCTGTTTCCACCATGTGCTTTTGTTGGGGAGGAAGCTCTTTCAGTATCAGAACCTCATCTCTCAAAGAATTGATGAAATGATCCACATCGAAAATATCTTTAAATTGGCTGCCATAACAAGTGCACATTTTTTTAACTTGTTCATTGGATTCTTCCGAATGCATATATGCTTAAACATTTCACTACTAGAATTTTTAGTATTTTCTGTAAACTTTTCAGTAAAAATTTACATGTAATTTAATCAAAATAAAAAAGAGTGAATGGGAAACAAAGTGGTTCCCACTCACCTATGATCGTTCCAAAAGGAGGTATTATCCAGCTCTGGAACTATGAGTGTAACATTTAAATATCTTGCAATGGTAACCATGTCACATATCTGCACACAATTGAGAAAAGAAATACGAATAATTGATAATTAGGAATGCCATTAATTTAGGAAAGTGAGCAATTACACGCATCAGTAATGCAATGAAAGTTCTGAATCAATATCAAAACCTTACTCCAGCTCGCATTTGATTCAATCCTCCATTGGAAGAAACCATTACATACCCATTATTCTCATAAATCCCTGCATGGAAACACAGTAGATAAGATATTTTCATCATGTTCATCACTTAGAAATTATAATCCATGGACATTAGCCAGATTTGGAAACATGCAAATTCATGCAATGTTGATGTTTATGATAGATAAAATACACAACAATTAAGTGCTAAGTTACTATTTAATAAATTTATTAGGTTTAATTGTGATTTTAATTCCCCTATACATAGTAATTATGGTGTAGAAAATCTTATTTCTTAAATTTCAATTATAATAAATGAATCTACCATATATTTATATTTATAATTTTAGTTCTGTTTTACAATTATAAATCCGAAAAATTAATTAACAGAATCAGAATTTAAGAATGTCAAATCAAAGAAATTGAAATCATATCAATGAAATATCACAATACTTAAACAACATGGACTAAATCTAGAAATTATAATCTGTGGAGCATAGCCAGATTTAGGAACCATAATGAGTGCAAATTAACGTGATTTGGTGCGTAAGTAGATAAAATGCACAATGATTAAGAGCTAGTTTAGGGCTTGCGTGCAACTACAAGGCAAGGTTTTAACACAAATGATTTTTAGTTATTGCAGATATTTTTTTCAAGGAAAAAGGAAAATTGTGATTTGAATCATAGACCAGGGTTGACAGAGAATGGAAAATTCGCTTTGGTGGTTTATGGCGTAGGGGTACGTAGAAAACAGAAAATAAAAATAGTATCTTTAATTTTTATTATCTTATACTATTTACATGAGATTCTCATCAATTAAAATGAAAGAGTTAAATTAACTTGGTATGGCAAGATATTTTAGCAAAGTTTAAAATCACTTGTGCATCATATAATGGGATTGCAACCAAATTAGACTGTTATTACCAGCCACATTTTTGGAATACAATTCAAAAAACAACTTGAGCAATGTAAAAATCTTATTTCTTGATAGTGAGAAAAACTTTATTTCTACAAAAAGTGGAACTCAATAGTTGCTAACCTTGAAAGAAAATATTAGGGAGCTAAAACGTCTCAAATTAAAGTGGTATAGAAAATAAAACATCGTGTACTTAGGCTTAAGGATGGCAAAACGGGCCAGCCCACCCCGTTTTGGCCCGCCCCGCTTTTGGCGGGGCTGGCTGGCCCGATATAGTCATGACGGGCTGTAGACCTTGGCCCGCCCCGTCAAGGGCGGGTTGGCGGCTGGCCCGCCATAATTTAGAAAAAATAATTTTTTTTAATAAATTTAATAATAAGATTATTATTTGTTTGTCAATAATTCAATATATATATATATATATATATATATATTATTTCAATTTAATAATATAAATCAATACATTATTTTAAGAAATTATAATTTAGAACAATAATAAAATTTACATAATAATAAATAATAACAAATATATATATATATATATATAACGTTAAACTTATAAAATTTATATTTTTTATATTGAAAAATTCAAATACCTATATCTTTTTTATTTGATAAAACTTCATATTATTCTTGGTTGAGTAATTCTTATACCTTTAATTCAAGTAATAAGGATAAATATAATCGAGTGTTTAGGATAAATATGGAGAACATGAGAGAATGTTATATTTCGGGAAGGAGAATATTTTACGTGATAATGAAACTTTTTTAATTCTCTTTTTAAAATTTTTAACTTTATATATTATCTTTATAATTAATTTTATTATAATAAAAAATTATTTTTTTATTAATTAGGCGAGCCGCGGGTCGGCCCGCCCGTCCACGGGTTGGCCCGACAGGTTGGCGGGCTTAGCGGAGCGGGCCAAAGCGGGCTGGTGGGCTGAAAACACCAACCCGTCCCGCCATATTATGGCGGGCTGGTCGGCCTAGCCCGTTTTGCCATCCCTACTAAGTTAGGCTTGAAAAAAATTAGTTATCATGAATTTTGTTGTCTATTTTTGTTTTTCTGATTTTGTACTTTTTTTTCTTCTTGATATATGTCCTGAAAATTTTAGTTATTTTTTATATGAAACTTTAAGTTTTCAATCTTTTCTTCACCATTTTAGTCCTTATTTTAAAAAAATCATCATTTTGCCATAATTGTTAATTTTGTATACCCTTATTTATTTAATTTTGGTCTAATTAAATACTATATCTAACATTTTTATTTAAAGTATTAATATGAAATAATTTATATAATTTTCTAAAACATACAGAATAAAAATAAGAAAACCAAAATCATATATATATATATATATATATATATATATATATATATATATATATATCAGAATAAAAGGGAGACAAAAATTATAATTTAAGTTTACTCTGATTTTTATAAAACTGTAATCTTTTGACACAAATCTCTCTTGCAATGAAAAAACTTCAATCTACCAGTTCTTATGAATTAATCAACATCAAACCTAATTCTAGTTTCTGTTAATCACATCATCCTAGTAAGAATCTTAACGTGAGAGACTAAAACAAGCAAAATAGAAATAAGAAGAAGAAGAATCATGTAGTATGGAGACAAAAAATGGCATTTAAGCCTATATATATATATATATATATATATATATATATATATATATATATATATATATATATATATATATAGAGAGAGAGAGAGAGAGAGAGAGAGAGAGAGAGAGAGAGTTATTAAAAAATGGAATCCTGAGTAGCAACATTCTGAAAATGAAAATTGCAGAAAAATGAAGGTACGTACTATGGTGTGGTAGAGAGAAGGCAGAGTGAGTGTTGAACATTGAAGGTGTTACCATGTCACCAAAGCCTCTGAATTGCACTGCAATGGTCCAAAGCATAATCAGAAATGCGACTCGAAGTGTCCAAACCCTCAACATGGCTGATCTCTTTCGAGCAAGCATTATGAATCTGAGTCTGTCACCCTCCATGGCATCATCATTTAATTTCTCATCCTTCACCTCAATGATCAAATTGATCAATGCTTCATATCTCATCTTACTCTTTGGCTTCTCCTTTTTCTTTTGATTAACCTCTGAATCCTCAATAACAGCCTTGTTGTACATATCCAACCACTTACCTATGTAATGTGGTAATAATAACCAAGACAAAAATATATTCTCTTTTGTATATGATTTGTGCTACAAGGTTAGGAAATGAACATGGAGAATGAAGAGATAATTTTCTGAGGAAAAGAAAGAAAAAAAGACTAAAACAAAGGAGTTATGTTGGTGCTTCAGAGAATCCCAAGATAGGATGAAAAGTAGGAGAAGGCAAGGTTATTTAAGCATGAGATTTTCACAGTTCTACCTAGATCACACACATGGTAAATATTTTGGTAACTTCATTTTCCTTCTTCTATTGTCTTCATCTGAAATACTTATAAGGGAAAAAAAGATTCAACCCCTCTCAAGTAAGTAAGAAAATAACAGTGTAATTACTCTTTGGATCATAATAATTACCTAACAAATTTAACCATATTCAATTTAAGGATGAATTCTCACTTTTTTTTTTTTTTTTTATGTAATTCAAACATTTTTTATGACATTAGAGAAGTTACAAAAGTAAGTGTACAGCAAATATTAGTTGATAATCCGGATAAGAAAACTTTTCTACATGAAATAAGAGTAATTTTTGGATACTATTTCTGGCCATGTGATCTTGATCACAAACTCAGAATTATGATAAACTATCGTATAAGATTAGTGGAATTTTTATACTATAATATGGTTAAACTGAAATTTGATGCTTCATTGCAAATTAATTTTTTGCGGAAATTTAGGTATCATGTTTTAATACTTTTTTTTAATTAGTAGTATAATTGTTAAGGAAATTTGACTTTTTAATGTAAATTTATTTATTTTTATTTAAAAAAGGTGTAATGAACATCAGTTTTGAATAGCAAAAGGTATTATAAATAAGGAAAATATTATAATATTTAGGACATTTTTTTAGGGTTTATTTGATTTCAGTGAAAGAAATTTACAGAAATGTGCAACACAACATGCATAATATTACGGGGATACAACTATTTCTGTCAACCATGTTTTTTCATTGTATTTATTTTTTTGTCCAATAACATAAAAACACGTTTCCTTATTATGGTTTCATAGAAAATGTCATTATGTGACATAGTCGAAAAATGTTCACACAGAATTATTATAATCACGATAATAATTGATTGAATATAATTATGATTTCTTTCTTTAATTTAAAAGGAGAGCAGGAGAAAATAAAAAATGAGGAAAAAGAAAAAGAAAAGAAAATATTTTATTTTTATTTGATAGAAAAGAAATTGAAAAGGAGACAAATAAGTTAAATATGTAAATGAAATGAATAATTGTAATTAAAATATAAAAATAATAAGATAATATTCTCTCTTTTTTTTCTCAGAAAAATAAAACATATGAACATATATGTTTTTCAATCATTTCTTTCTACTTAGTATTATGAAAAATAAAATCTTAATTTCTGTTTTTCTTTTTCACTTTCAGACTTGATTATATATAATTAGATTCCATTTTTACTATTCTAATTAAAAATATTAAATATTTACTATTTTTATTTAATAATTTAATGTAGTTATAATTAATTTTAATTATAAAATTAATCAGATTAAATAATTTAAAAAATTATTTATTAAAAAATATTTTAAAATAAATATTTTATGAATTTTGATATTAATTTTAAAAATATTATTTTAACATATTTTTATTAAATTTTAATATAATATTTTTAATTAGAAGACCGAGTAAAAGAAGGAAGAATATCATAAAATGGAAAAAGGAAAAAAATTAAGAAATGAATGAGAAGAAAAAAATATGTAAAGTGAACGAAAATAGAAAAAAAAAGAGAATGAGCCAAGAAAAAAAAACTATTTTACTTAAAATTTTATTTTATAATGAAAATTTTGGGTATAAGTAATAAATCAGATTAGTTAAATAAATAAATTAATAAAAAATTTATTTGAATTTTTTAAAATATATTAGGAATAAGTTAAACTTATATTAAAGAAATTATGTGTGTTCTAAGTGAAAAAAAAAGTATACACTAAATATGTGAAGCAAAACATATTATTTTCCTTGATATTAAGCCAGGGTAATATTTCCTAGAAAATACTTGAATTCAATCCATAATTATATACTTATTTAAAATCTCATCCAATTAATTTGATTATAGATTGATTTTTTTTTCTTGAATTTAAAAATAATAAAAAATCAATGTTCATTTTAAGAATTCTTTTGATTAATATTTTTTTAAAATAACTTATTCTCAATCTACAAAATACTTATTTAGTCTAAGCCATTTGTAGAAGGATAAACTCATTTTGGCTTTGGTAAAAAAAATAAAAAATAGAATGAACTAATTCACTATAATTACATAATTTTTTTAAAAATAATTTATTTATCTTTTTAAATCAATTTTTTTAATAAATTTAATAATAAAATTATTATTTATTTTATAACAATTCAATATTTTAAGTTAATAATATACATTGATACATTGTATTAAAAAATTATAATTTAGAATAATTAAATTAAGATAAAATTTATATAATAATAAATAATAACAAATATAAGTAGATATAGTCAAAACTTATATAATTTATTTCTTTTATATTGAAAAATTTAAATACTTAAAACAAAAATTATATTAAATTTTTTTATTTGATAAAATTTAACATTATTTATTATATAATAAGTAATTATCATATCTTCAATTCAAGTAATAAAAGTAAAAATAATCTTATATTCTTTCTATTTTTCATCTTTTTTATTTTCTTCCTCATTTTCAACATCACACAAAATTGAAGATTCTTCCTATAAAGTTTTATATATTATTTTTATAATTTACAATAAAAATAATAATTAATAAAGCGGGTGACAGATTGTGCGACTCATCCCACGAGTGGACTCGACAAATTAGAATAAAACGAACCGATAAACTACAAATAACAACTCGTCCTGTCATATTTATGGCAGATTAGTAAGTTGGTCCGCCAAACTTGCTTAATTTTGTCATCTCGATTCGTCTGGAAAATTATATTTATTACATGAATTATTTTTCACTTTTTAAGACTAACAAATAAGAAAATTTCAGAAAATAATATGTTATTTTATTAAAAATAATAAACTCATAAATATAGACAGGATATAATACTGTAAAAAAAAGAGAGAATATATTTATAAACAAAAATAGTTTAGCAAGAAAAATAATACATGAAATAAAAACTTCATCTATCTTTCAAAATTAACAATTTAATCTTAAAAATATCTTAATTATTTAATAAAATCATGTAACAACTAAATTAATTCAAATAAAATTTTTAATTTAAATTTATCATACATAGTAACTTCAATTTTAATATAAATTCTATCCAAATTAAATAGTTATAGAAGTTCAAATTTAAACCAGATTAAAAATACTAAATCAATTCAATCTAATTAAATAAAAACATTCTTAATTTAATCTAAATTTGCATTGAATATAAATTAAATTTAAAAAATTCAATTCATGTCCACCCAAAAATCAAGAACAATTAAATCAGATCTCATACATTTAATTTAAGTAGAGGTTCATCTTCCATTCCCACCACCCACAAGGTCTGTCCATATATTTCCACACAGTAAACGAAAGATTCCTAACAATTTTATTTGGTATTTCAGACTCATTAAGCAAATGAAATATTTCTAACAATTTTATTTGGTATCTCATACTCATTAAGTTCATCTTCAACCCTCACGAGTAATATTTTCATCTACTTCAGCATTAACCTCAACATTTTTGTTCAACAGAGCCAAGTGCATAATTAAAGCTCACGTACAGTAGACCAAAATTTTTCTATTAGGCTACGTCAGTCTAAGTTAAACACTAATTGTTAAAAAAAAAAAAAAAAAAAAGTAAACACAACAATCACAAAAAGTAAGTGAATACAGGGAAAGATAACGTCAACTGTTGGGTTTTTTAAGGAGAGATTTACAGGAAAGAAATACACCAATGAAATATGAGTCAAGCCCACATAAGAATTAATATTATTTTCAATCTAAAATCTTAAGACATTAGGTTATGGATCATACTTCCTTATATGGTGCTTAACTTTCTCATTCTTACATAATGTAGGACTTAGAATCATATTTGGATTCTCTATAATCTCCCCCTCAAGTATGAATTACTCCACACTGGTACATCTTCTCGAACTCACTAGTGATCCTTTCATGTACCGCCGTTCATTCTAACGGGACACGCTTACTTGACCCACTCTATTAAGAAGACTTTCGATACAAAGACCACTCTGTCCCACTGTCGATCAATTTTCTACTCTAATACCACTTGTTAAATCTTTTGAGGGGATTCACCGAGGAGAGACACACCAATGAAATATGAATTCAACCCATATACGAGATTGACACCATTCTCAACCCAAATAGCAACAATGGAAACACAAATATAATACAAGACGAAAGTAAATAACAAAAACACAAGGAATTTACGTGGTTCAGTTAAAGTGACCTACTTCCACGACTACACCAGATCATAGTTCTCATTTACACAATTAGGTTTACAATTGCATGAGTATTTATAATAAAAGAATAAGTAAATGAGTCAGACCCAATAATCCTTCAGACTCCACATACTTAACAATCTCCTACTTGGACGTTGATCACATCAAACATACTCCAAAGTAAATCTAGTAAACCTCAAAGTTATAACAACCTCAAACTAGTATAATGTCTTCTCAACAATTAACCATGAATGTCAGTTGAAATTATGCAAAACTTCAACTTTTCAGTAGTAATCACCTTGGTCAACATATCTGCAGGATTCTCTAACCTAATGATCTTCTCTAAAAACAAAGTATCATCACTTATTAGTTCTTTAATGAAGTGATACCTCAACTGAATGTGTTTTGTTATTACATAAAAAACAGGATTATTTGCAAGATGGATGACACTCTGACTATTGCTATACAGAATATTGTCACCTTGTCTAGTTCTTCAAGAAAATTTTTCAACCAAATCATTTCCTTATTGGTTTTCAAAATAACTATGTACTATGCTTCTATGGTTAAAAGTGCAACACTTTTCTGAAGTCGAGATATCTAACTAACTATTATGCCACCTATTGTGAATACAAATCATGTAATACTCTTCTTTGTGTCTAAACAACCTCCTAAATCTACATTGGAATATCCTTTCAAAATAACATCATTTCTTCTAAAACATAATGCAGTTTTAAAAGTATCTTTCAAGTAGCGTAACAATCACTTGACAACTTCCCAATGCTTCCTTCCTGGATTAGATATGAATATACTAACAACTCCCACTACATGAGCAATGTCTGGTCTAGTGCATACCATTACATACATTAAGCTACCCACTGCAGATGCATATGGAACCTTAGTCATTGCTGCCTTGCCTTCATCTGTCTTAGGTGACTCCTCTTGAGTGAGATTAAAATGAACTTTCAAAAGTGTACTTACGATTTTGACATCCTGCATATTGAATTTCTCTAACACTTTCCCAATATACTTCTCTTGAGATAATATTAAGGAACCTTCAAATTTGTTCCTGCTGATATTCATGCCAAAAATCTACTTTGATATATACAAATCCTTCATCTCAAACTCTTCAGACAACTTTGTCTTCAATCTATTAACTTCATCAATGTTAGAACCTACAACTAACATGTCATCAACATACAATAGTAATATAATATAGGATGAATCAAAATTTTTCATATAACATTGATCCATGACACACTTCTTGTACTCTATCCTACTCATAAAATTATCAAATTTTAAGTACTACTGTCTAAATATTTGCTTCAACACATACAAACTCTTGACCAACTTGCAATCTAAGTTATCTTCCCCTACACCTTAAAAACCCTCTGTTTGTATCATGTAAGATGTCCTCATCAAGGTCACCATGTAAGAATGTTGTCTTAACATCTAACTACTCTAGATGTAAATCTTCTGCAGCCACAATACTCAACACAAGTCTAATGATAGTCATTTTAAATACAAGAGAAAAAAAATCTCATTATAATCAATACCTCTTTTCTACTGAAAGTTTTTCACCACTAACCTTACCTTATATCTCTTGTTGTCATCATGTTCATCCTTGATCCTGAAGACCCACTTGTTTTGCAATGTCATCTCTCCTATTGGTAGGTTAATTAAACACCAAGTTTTATTTTTCTCAAGTGAGTTCATCTCCTTACATGGCTAACCCCCACTAAGCTGCATCATCCATCTGCAATGCCTCATCATAACACAAAAATTCTCCATCGTCAGTCAACAACAAGTAATTTGTTGAAGGAGAAAACTTGTGAGGAAGCTTAATAACTCTGCTGGATCTCCTCACTTTAACTACTGGGATGACAGAAGTAGTCTCCTCAATAGTCATTTCTCCTAAGCTCTCACCTTTTCATGAAAGGTCATCTTCTATAATGTCCTATAACACTATATTTTCCTTCTCTGTTGGCTTCTTTTAAGCTTCAATTTTTGTCTAAAGTTTATAGTTGTACGTTACATTTTCATTAAATGTAACATCTCTGCTTCTAATGATCTTTTTGTTCTGATCATCGCAGAAGCGGTATCCCATGTCATTTGCTCCATAGCCAATAAAAATGCATTTTCTTGCTTTGGGATCAAGTTTATCCCTGTTAACATCTTTAACACGAACATAAGAAACACGACTAAATACTTTCAAATGAGAATAAAGTCTTACATCATTGTCTTACTATTCTTCCTCAGGAATCTTAAATCCTATGGAAACTGAGGGTCATCGATTAATGAGATATGTTGTTGTGCTTACTATTTCTACTCAGAATGTTTTCAATAATCCTACATGAATTTTCATACTTTTTACCCTCTCATTCAGGATCTTGTTCATTCTTTCAGTATTACCATTCTGCTGAGGTGTCTTAAGAATAGTTTTAAGAATTCTAATTTCATTTTCAACACAGTAATAAACAAATTTAGTACTACTATATTCAACACTTTAAACATTTAATTTTTAACTTTGTCTCATTCTCAACAATGACTTTTCACTTCTTAAAGGTATTAAATACTTCTGATTTTTGCTTCAAAAAATAAACCCATACCTTTCTAGTGGAATCATCAATGAAGGTGACATGGTATCATGATCCTCCCAATGATGAGACTGATGTTGGTCCATACACATCTGAATGAACAAGTTCCAACTTCTCTACCTTGGACATCCTCCCTGACTTTGCAAAAGTAACTCTTTTCTATTTCCCAAACACACATGGTTCACAGAAACCAATTTCTACCTTTTTTAGTTCTGGAATCTTCCCTTTTGAGATTAGTATCTTCATGCCCTTCTCGCTCATGTGATCAAGCCTTTGGTGCCACAAAGTTGAAGAATGACCAAAATCATCACCAACATCATCACTAATTGAATTTACTTCTTTTGTAGGTAATTCTATCATGTATAAGGTTCCTTTCTTCCAACCATGACCAACAATTAGATTATCATTCACCACCTTCCATTGACCTTATCCAAATATGACTCAATATCCTTGAATATCTAACATAACCACAGAGATTAACATTCTCTTGAGTCCTAGAATATATCACATCTTTTAGAGTCCTTATTATACTCGTAAGTGTTTTAAAATTTATATCTCTCATGTGTGCAATGTCTAAAGCTTCATCATTTGCTTGACGCACTTTGCCAAAACTTCCACTTCCGAAATTTTTTATCAAATCCTTGCAAGGAGAAGCATGGAAAGATGCACTAGAACCCATGATCCAAGATTCAAACTTGCTCTCAACACAACAAATCAACGCATCATCATTGTCTTCTTTTACTGCATTCATTGTATTGTCATACCTCTTTTCTTTAAGAATAGTACATTGATTCCTAAAGTGTTCGTTCTGTTGACAATTTGAACAAGTAATATCCTTGCGAAATTTGGACTATTTTTGCTTCTTGGACTTTGATCTACCACGACCAGAGCCTTGCCCCCTTTCAGGCTTTCTACCTCTACCTTCGATGTTTAATAAAGAATTTGTTGATTCTTCAACATTCCTTCTGCGAACATGCTCATTAAGGATTAAATCCTTAATTCCTTCAAAGGTTAATTTCATAGTCTCAGATGTATTGACTACTGCTGTCACAATTCTTGACCAACTATCAGACAACAAAGATAATAATAACAGGACTTGTACTTCATCATCAAATTTAATATCTACTAACACTAATCTTAACAATAAGAAATTAAATTCATTCACATAATCTGCAACACTAGCACTTTCTCGCATATTTGTATTAACTAATTAATGAATAAAAAATACCTTGTTTGATGCTGATGACTTCTCGTATATTAAACCATATATCATCTTCTCATTGATGATGATATAGGCAATATTTTTCATCAATGTTAATCTAACAATGCCCAAAACATGTCGATTTAACAACTCTCAATCTACCTGAGACATAATTTCTCATTTATTCTTAGACAAATACTAGTATAACTTTTTCTAATAAAGATAATCTTCCATTTGTATCTTCTAAAATCCAAAATCGCTTGTATCGAACTTTTCAATCTTTACTTTCCCGTTTTCTGTCATTGCTCCCACTCACATGTAAAAAACATAAGCTCTTGATACTAATTGTTCAAAACACAAATACAATATAAGACGAAAACAAATAATAAAAATATAAAAAATTTATGTAATTCAATCAAAGTAACTTACGTCCACGATTACACAATATAATAATTTTCATTCATATTTTTAGATTTATAATTACATAAATATTTATAATAAAAAAAATAAGGAAATGAATCAAATCTAATAACCTTTCAACTCCTCGTACTTAACACCAACCCACTCTCATAAATTAATTTCTTAGGTTACCTCCCGTTCATTTTACAAAGATCTTTCTTAAAAAATGAAAAAAATATTCCAAAATAAATGGGATGTTACTTGAAAAATTTATGTGAAGAAACATCCTGTTCCACGTTCACTATTACCAATAGCATAGGTTCATGAAACTGTGAGAGCGTAAGGACAAAACAAATTAAGTCCTCAATTGTATATAAGATGTCACTAGAAGCTTGGTTTCTGGCTTCTGCACCATGAGTCCACGACTCCAACTGAGCGACTTGTTACCAAAATCAAAATAGCAGGTAGAAAAGTGCTATTACTGGGTAACTTGCTGGCAGTACTTGCGTTTCAGACTTCACTCTGAACAGCTTCAATTTCTGGCATCAAAATGAACCGGCATCCATAAAGAATTTTGTGAATTAGAATTTTTCAATTGCCAAAAAGAACCCCATCAAGCACAGGGTAGAGGATTCTGCAGATAGCATAACAATAGGAAGCTTCTGTAAAACAAATTTAAAGTTCCAAATCATATTTTCATTTCCCACTTGTTAAATTTCCTATGAAATAAGAGGATAAGCTGCTAACATCTCGCAATTCGTATTTCACTCTCCAAAGACCAAAGCTAGCAAAGTCAGCATGCATTGAATTGCCATCTTTAAATATGCAAAAATCCAGCTATATGCATATCAAGGACAAGCCATGGTAAACATAAGAAGAATCAATAAAAAGTTATGCAGTTTAAAACATTGTGATGTGGTAATATTTACTTCGAAAAAACGAAAATGGATTTAGTGATATACCTGCATAGATAATAGATGCTCAAACTTATCTGCGTCTATGGAGCCTAGGTATAAACAGTGAAATAGGAGGATGGAAAATTTTCCTTGACCCAAATGAATGCCTTACACTGATATGAAATATACTTCCAACAGCGTACCTAATAAATACACTCATTCATTCGAAATTCCAAAAGCTTTCATGAGAAAAGCATACTCATAAGCTGTTTCGTCACATTGAGCATAGCGACCACCTTCGCCAAAATGCCCTCCTATCATACTTGTTTTCATGATGACAGTATGAGAACAATGATGGCAGGTAATATCTCGTACTTTAGCAACCCATTTAGCACCTTCCCAAACTCCAACCCTGAGAATGAATGTCAAATGCTAAACTCAACATTATTTAAGTGATTAGAAGTTGCTAAATGCATAATTAGGATGTAAAATATGCAAATTAATAATATTGTATGTGTGTGTGACATATGGATTAGCAAGAGTAAGATTGCCTTGAATCATTGACTGCTGCCGTAACCAAAACTGAAGGAAAACAGCTGCTTGAAGGAATGTTGTCATAAGGAGAATAACTAAGAATAGAATCAAAATTTGATTGTGATTGAGGATTTCCGAATTCTTCATAATCCAAAATTGTGAGGGGTAGACTGGGATCCAACAATGTGTTGCATATATCAAGAAATGGTACCTGGTGTAAATAAACCAACCAATTATCTGATGGGGTGTTTTAAAAATATGAAATTGTGAATGATGTGAACTGATAAAATTAACTGTCAGCTATAAATAAATAAAAAATGAGTGAAAATATCTAATTTAGTATATATGAAACTTTATTTCTTTTTCATTGATGCATAGAAAGTAAAGCACACACAAATCTACATGATAGATGTTCATGACAGTGAAAGCAAATAACATTTTACTTAATGGACATCTAAATGTAAGTTTCACACAGAGAGAGGGAGAGAGAAAGAGGAAAGGCAAACAGATTGAAAGAGCTATATACATTTCCAGGCTCACCTTGTGAAATATGATTTCAGAATATCAAAAGCTGATTTTGGTCGTCCAAAGGTCAATTTACAAAGTATGTTATTATTAAAAACACATTTCAAAGTAATTCTTCTCCAAACCTCAGTTCTACCTCCCTAAGAACCTTGTAATATATTCTCTTTCGTTAAAGGTTTAAAAGTGACTATTGTTTAGTCTTTAGAATTCTGACAAAAACAGTAGAGACATGGTGCTAATTGAAGGGCTTAAATTTGAAATATCCAAAATATTTACTCATTTCTCACTCAAAAGCTATCCTTCACGTTATGTACAATCACAATTATATTGAACTTACTTTTAATATGACAGCACGAAAGAGTTGGGGACACATATTCATAGCTGCACCAACAAGAAGACACCCTGCACTCCACCCAATAGCACCAAGCAGATCACTCTGAACATAGCCTTTGTTAACTAAGTAGTTGCCACAGGATACAAAGTCAAATATTGAATTCTGTTTGTTTAATCCACTCCCAGATTTATGCCATGAAGGACCTCCACCTCCACCACCTCTGTTATAGAACAAGTCACCACATAATTTAAAAATATATAAAAGCTTAAAATTACACAATTAAGTTTAAGTTATCCTATTTGACATGATAAACAGGGCCATAAATGCAAATCTTAAGTGCATATTATAAGAAACAAGCCAGTATCATATACTCATATCAAAGGCCAACGGAAACTAACAACTGTAGAAATAGTTGTCAGGCAACCAACCTTACGTCAGCAAATGCCACTACCCATCCACGGTCCAATAAACTCAGGCGATCTGAACACCAGCTTTTATCTAGATCTTCTCCGTATGCTCCATAGCCTACTAAGAGTCCAGGGGATTGACCCTTCTTCCAGGATTCTCTAGAATACACAATGGTTAGTGGAACCGTTACACCATCATGGGAAACAACTTCCTCTCTCTGACTGCAGTATACTTGAGAAAAGTCCTTCCATCTCTGTGAATTAAAATTCGTGGCACATTCTTTCTGATCACTACACGCCTCTTGAATTGTACTCTTATTTAGCTCAAAAGTTGGGATGCATGACCAACCAACAGAATCACAGTTCACTTCCTCTCGATGCACAATAGAGTATGTATGTTTTGACATATCATAGTCAACAACTAAATCTGGCATCTGTTCACTCATCAAACCCCAGAAAGTGAAAGAAGTTTCCAAAACTAAAGCAGATAAATCATACATATAATACTTCTACAAATATGTAGTTCAATAAATCATAAACATTAAATGTTAACATTCAACGTAGAAGTAATACACATTTCATGAATTTAAATTACTTCTAGTAATTACTATGCTCACTGAGTAGATTTGAAATGGGCCTATACGCAACAATTGATTCAATTAGCAACGCCATAAATTACAAAGTCTGAAACTGAACTATTATCACAATTCAGAAATCACAACAATGTTGAATACATCAAACACTCAGCTCCCACAGATATAAATAAATGCATTTATAGTGTCTCCAAAATATAGTTATAAAGGGTAATGATAAAGTGTTACAGTCTGAAAAAATGTGAAGGGAACGGCAGGTATGCGGCAATGCAATTGCAATAAATTCCTCCACTGTCTTGCTGTTCTTGCAAACAAGTTTATGGATACAAAAAGTCTTAATTTTTAATTTATTAACATGATGAGGAAAGTAATCTGCATACATAATACTGCAAGGAAAGTAAAAGTGTTATAATATGCTTATTGTTTGATGTGTAAATTTCATATTTTAAGCAAGTAAGCTACATATATAGTGTGTTTTATTAAGCAAGACCCAGGGCAAGGAAAAAAGTAACTACAAAGTGAACTGGAAATATATATCATAAATTATCATAAAAATGAACAAAATTAAAATGTCAAAGAATAATATCCCATTTTATCTGCAAAGGTTGGACAAAATTTTTGAAAGTAGTTCAGCTTAATATTAGCAGTTGGAAGAAAAGTAACATAATATATCTACACATTACATAGCAGGTTAAACTAAGTAGTATGTTCAAAAAGGAACTTTGAATATAATTTCAGATCATGTCTCCAAATGGAGTATGATGAATCATGCAAAGCAAAGTAATAAACAGACACCTGAATACATATTGATAAATTTAGAAGAATCAAGAATGTGAATTCTTACACATGTATTTGGCACCATTCCCAGAACACTCACAAAATTGAATATTAGTAGACTATTAATTATAAAATCTTTCCATTCATATTTACTGATAAGACGGATTAAGAAATCATCACTGAATCTACAAATGTGTATTGAATTCCTAATTATAATAATCATACCACGGGTGATGAAAGAACCACACGGTAAACCATACTGAGGAAGTCATGATTTGATCCTGGACTGACACTGCATGTATTTGATGGCAGAGGAAAGTACCACGGTTTCAGATCTTGAATATATACTTGAAGCTACATAGCAGTTCAAGGTCATATTTTAATGTATGCAGGTTTTAAATTGGAATAAAATAATTTATGATTCATCTTAATGAAGCTTTATATTGAAAATAAGCACTGATACATTCCATGGTCAATTGAAAACTACAAGCTGCAGGAAATGTCTAAATAGTTCACAATCTCAGGTAAAAGTCCCATCCAACAAAGTTCATCAACCAATTTAAAGTTGAACATTCATATTCACATAATGCTATGGTCAGTTCTGGAAATGAGAAAAATAAGAGGCACTGAAATCAAATATAGACTTGTATAAGTGCATAGTATACATGTCATTGCAACAGAATACAATTTAATATATAACGACTAAACTTGTAACAAGTATAGACAACAAAACACCAATATGGATTCTGTTTTTATGGCCATTTCAAAATCATACACTTCTAAATATTTTTCTATATCTTCATCAAATTACTACATTCAATTAGCATTGGTTGAACATTATACATCCTGGAAGGAGTGTGCATGCACAAAGGAATTAAGAAAGGTAATACAGCAACAAACTTGATGGTGTTGTCATATTGGATTATCTTTTTTGTGGTACACAGGGAATATTCATCAGGATCAAATAGTTTAGATGCTACAGAGATGAACTAGGAGAAAGTATGATGGCAAAAACCTTTCAATTCAGCGATAAACAATAAATCTAAATAAATTGAAAGTCATATACCTTTGAATCAATTTTCATGGGAAAGTTCACTGAGCAAAGCAGAGGAAGACCTTTCTTATTGAAGAAAAGAACCAAGTGTCCATTAAAAATGTCCATATCACATATGCTCATATCTTTGTCAGGAAGGATGATATTCTGAAGTGAAACATAAGCATAAAAAAGAGGATTTAGAGACACAATTCACGCACTACCCCCAGATAACAAAGAACTGAAAATCAAGAAGTATAAAACTAATAAAAAAAAAACCTGCAATTTAGCTGACTCCATATCTTCAACCTGGCATCTAACCAGGTAATAACCTTGACCAGACCATTGGGGATCAGGAATAGGAGCATTGGTAAGAATATAAAATAAACCAGAGTGATGCTCCACAAAATACTGTACACCAGAAGTACGATTACATAATTTTTGTAAACCATTTGATGGATTGACTGAGTCTATAACATAAACCTGTGATAAGCATCAACATTAACAAACCACTAGAAAATAATAATCTCATTCTGTATTCATAAAATAAGACAAGTAAATCCCTTCCTCGGATGAAGTTCTTGAGTTTGAATTCACTGTTATGAATTTCCCATCTTTTGTGCTTGTTATGTCCACACAAAAACTGGAATCGTTTTCTGTAAATACTGTCAAATCATCTACACGATCGTATCCAAGTTTTCTGCAGAGAACCCTGCCATAATAACATATGACAGTTTAGGATAGCATGTTACACTAAAACACATTCCTTTTCCGAACGCTGAAGAACTGACAAAAAAAAAAAAATTCCAATGATAAGATTTTGCCTGTAAGGTCGCTGATTTTCATCTGAAAGAGTATAAAACAGATAACTTGCATCTTGAGCCCATGCCAAAGTAACAGCGCCATCAACTTCAGAGTTTGGGTCTATTAATCCACTTCTGAGGTCTTTTACCTGAAGTGTGTATTGTTCTCCACCAGAAATATCAAGTGTGTATGCAAGGTAGTTGTGGTCAGGTGAAACTCTGCATGTTCCAACATTGACATACCCTGCAATTTTATTTATATTGTCAACAATCACCAATAGGAGAGAAAAAACAATGAATTTAAAGTAGAATTTAAACAATTTGAGTACAAATTATCACATGAAGGTTGGCTAAAGGAGCAAGCTGCAGATCTTTAAAATCCAAGAGAAACAAATTTAATAACTAAAGATGTCAAGCTTGCATCCTGTTTGGATTAATTACGAATTTATGTTAGATTTCAACAACAATTTTAGATGCAGTAAACTGCTAACTCTATCAAAATATGACAGAGTAATGATGTCATGTTTATGTCAGATATGCATCTTTTATTAATGATAATCAGAAATCTTAGTCCAGAACTTCCTTTCCCCCATTATTATCGCTGATTTTGAAAAGGAAATGGAAACTCAAAATAAAATTTGGTTAGACTAGAAGAGACATACCATATTTCTCTGCAAGTTCGTTCCAGTCAAGTAAAATCTCCTCCCTTTTTGATCTAGTCATTCCATATTGAAGAAAAAAATTCTTCAGCCAACCAGTTTTTTCCATTTCCAGCCTCCTACAGAGTACAGGATATTCTTTTCCCTCCGGAATATACTGGTAATACAGCCTTATGAAAAGGAGGTGAGAAATGCCATCAATTAAACTCATAGCCAAAGTAAAGAGAAATGGTACATTGCTATAGTTAGGGGACATTAGGTCTCAAATTGTTTTGGTATTCATTTTCTGTTTTCACATTTTATTACAAAAATGTTACCTTGTGTTTAATTTTTTCTTATTTTCAAAAGTTAGATAGGAAAAAGTTAAAACAATTTTCTATTGTTTTCTGTTTTCATTGATTCTTATACAAACTTTTGAAAACAGGAAATAAAGTGCAAATAGCAGCATGCTTGTAGTTTAAAGTGAGAGCAGAAACAAGAAAACAAAAAATGCATTCTTAAACTAAATGGTCCCTTAGTTTCTCACTTTCCTACACCACTAACAACAGTGCTACAGATGCATTTATATTAGTTCTATTATTCAGCAATTGCCAAAAACACATAAAACATTCAGCCCGAGGCACCCAATTCTTCCACCTCAATCAACATATGTGCATGCATATCAGGTGAAAGAAGCCAATCTTAGACAATAAAAGAATACATCAACAGTCAAGATTATATTCAAGTAAAATCATTTTCAATTTTTCATCTATAGTTTTATGATTAAAATTAGTTATTCTCTTCTATCAAATACAAGACCTTTATCCAAAAAAGAGTACAGTGTTATAACATTTACTAATCTACCAATAGTAGAATCCAGATATCAATTATCTCACAGCCAAAGCAACTTCGTAAACAAACCTGTCAAAAGCAAAAAATTCGTCCAGAAATATCTTCTCAGCTCTGACATGTCATCACTAATCTACTTCATCTTTTATTTTCTGATAATTCACTAATTTGATCTCTAAATTTATATAAAAAAATAGACTTTAATTTCAATGCATTGTTAGTGTAATATTTTTAATGCAAACAACCCATTTTCTAACAATCTCTTTTTTTAACAAACACTCTCATTGGTTACTAAATTTATTGAGAACTACAAAATCATGAAAGAAATTCTTTAAATTAAACTCATAAAATTTCACCATTTTCAATAAATTTCAAGTAACAGTGTGTGTTTAAAGAGGGTGTAACATTTCTCAAAACTTTTTAATAATATCAGTGAATCAGAAATCGTGATAATGATAAGTAAGACTATTAAACTAATTAGTGTAGAGCTTAACTAATTTATCATGCATGACAATCACACATCATGATAGGGTAGATAAAGAAGTCAAAATGTCCATGGATGGACTATTTTTTCAATGAAGTCTTCTTTAGTTCATTTTGTGGATTAATGACATTATTATTTTAACTCCACAGAGTAAGTTAACCTATCTTGGTAATTTCAAAGATTAACAAGGTGCGTTACTCTTTGCTATTTTCATATATGAATAAAACAAAAGGAAAAAGGTGGAACCAACCAGGGTCCCCAACGTTCAGGGGGAGTGGAAACGGTGGGCGGTAACCGTGCTTTCATCTCAGATGACAAAACGGAACGGAGCTTGAGGGTGTCAGCCATGAAGCTCTCGGCGTAGCCGTTTTCACGGTTGAGATACTTCAACAGATTCGGGTCGTCGGTGTTGGACATCCAGTGATACGGGTCCTGCCATGTCTTACCGTGAGCCGACACCGTGAATGGGACCTTCTTCGGAGACGGCGGAGCTTGCGACGGCGGAGAGTGGTTCCGCCGCCGGCACGCGGAAGAAAAGGAGGAATAGAGTGTGAATATGACGGTGCGGCATGGCCTGAAGAGTGTGGCGTTGTAGTGGCCAAGTGCGCGGAAAGCCATTGGAGAGGTTCTCAAATTCGAACTCGGTCATGGGAAGTAGACAGTAAGCACCACATTAGGGTGATTCATCTGTTCCAATAAAATATTTTTGAGTTAGTTACTTCTTTCAAGGTAAGTTTACAGCCAAAATAATAATAATAATAATAATAATAATTATTATTATTATTATTATTTTACTGCTAATTTTTAACTTAAATATTATTTTGATATGGTGATGAATTTATATAACTTAAAATTGATATTAATGATAATTTATTTATATATTTTAATCCATGACATATTAGAACTTTAAATGGAATAATATGATAATTAATTTTAATGATATTATTGTAATATGTATGATGTAAGAGTATTAATATTAATGTTTATAATGAGATATAAGATAAAATTTAATTTTATTCATATTTATTTATTTTGAATGGAGATGATTAGCTCCTATGATTAAAAGATAGAATTTTATTTTATTCGCATTTTGAGATATTATATTTTGATATGTTTATGAATCAGTGAAGATCAATAATAATTTATATATAATATGCATATTTCAAATATAAAATTGTAATAAATGTAGTCAATAAAGATGTTTATAGCAAGTAACATATTGGAGTACAGTAGACTCTAAAATTCTTTCACTCTCAAAATTCTCTACAAAACAATTATCATCAATGAAAGACACATTTGATAAATTAAGTTGGAGAGGCGATCTAGATGAATATATCTAAACTTACTTGACATAGATAAGTGTATTAACCACTCTCACCCTCTTAGAGAAGAAATAAGAAAAAGACTGAATCTTTAATAAGTTTCGAAAAAAGGTTTAACGAGGTAAGTATAACTTATCCCAGACTTGATTAGTCACTATTTGATAATAAGTTTGAGATGAGACTCATTCTTAAACAGTACATCTATAGATTATCTAGAGGTTTTAGAGGAACTCTGATCCTAAATAGTTATATAATTAATAATAGTTAATTAGAGATAAAAATTTAAAAATATTAAATATATTTTTTTAACAAAGCAAAGAAAACTACACCTGCTCCGTATGTTATCATATGAATTCTCCCTTCCAGTTGATGCAATGGACAACCATTTCATGTATAGTTTTGTTTTTTTCTAACCTCATGTATGAATAAAAGGGGCATTATTATAAGAGGTACTAGCTTAATTTAATGTTCATAAAATTTCACCCTTGTTTCGCATGATGCTATCAAATCAATAGAATAATTAATATGAACACTTTTTATATTGAATTGGTTTTATTCCAAATTTATTGAATGTATTAATACCATGAAAATGATAGTATTTATTTAACTTTAGTTTATTCAATTATATTAATTACATTTTTCTACGTACATATAATTTCAACATTTCTTTATATTTAATATATTGTTGATAGATAATCAATATCAATTTAAGTGTTACTTCTAAATGAATATTAAGAATAAAGATGAGTTGACAACTAGGTTTTAATAGATAAATTTTTATTTTATTTTTAATCGTTATTTATATTATTATTATTATTATTATTATTATTATTATTATTATTATTATTATTATTATTATTATATTAATATAATTTCGCGGTCTAATAATTGTTTTTTAAAGGTTGTCTACTGATCATTATCATCATTATCTGAATATTAAATACAAGAGTCAATTTGTCAATTACATATTATTAAGATTGATAAAAACCGAATAAATTAAATGTGATGCAGCTTTAGCAACCAAGGAAATAAAGATTAGAGCAAAACTTGTAAGGAATAGTTCATAAATAGAAAATTGGTTTTTTATGAGTGCTTTAAAGATATTAGTTGCAGAATAAAATAGATATTAAAAGCTCGACCTTAGTTGCATGAAAACAAAATATGACAAAAAAATTACACAAAACCAAATACCTTTTTTGTTAATATTATTCTTTTTCTGGTATAAGAAGCTTTTTATTTTTATTTTCTTTTCAATTTTCTTATGTTTGTTTAATTTAAAAATGATAAATAATCAATTTAGTGCTTAAATATGTGAAATGTTGTCAATTTAATTTTTCAAATAACATGATTTATCTAGAAAATATTTATGAACGAAGTTGGTGATACTCCATATTAATAACATTACTTATTAAAAAAAAAATCAAAGTTCGAGGCTTAATAAAAAAAGGTTATTTAAAAATAATAATTCTAATAACACACTCTTTTATACTGCTAAATGAAAAGAGAAAATTTAAAAAAACTTCGAAACTCACCAAATTGTGATTTTCAATACATTTGAAGAGGAGAAAGAGTGAGTTTAGTGGAGTGCATTAAAGAATACATTACATAAGATTAATGTATAATTTATCTTAATTCTGTGTTAAGGCGCTAAGAGATGGATATATAAGAACATTTTGGTTCATATCTTTTCAAAGAAAGAAACCAATTAATCTGAAAGCCATTATTTTTTCTCCTTTGTTGCAATGAAACACTACTCCTTGTTATTTCTTCTTTTGATATTTCTGGCAGACTCAACCCCCCTCACTGCAACACACAATTGGACCATTCCAAGGATGAGTCCAATTCCTGATTGGGAAGCATCACTACACGACCACCCAGTTGCAGTTGATGCAGAAGAAGTCAGAACATTTTTCTTCAAACAGACTTTGGACCACTTCAACTATAGGCCAGAAAGCTACACAACATTCCAACAAAGATACCTCATTAATTTCAAGTACTGGGGTGGTGCCAATTCTAGTGCTCCCATATTTGCATACCTTGGTGCTGAAGCACCAATAGATAACATCCCTAACAGATTAGGATTTTTAATTGATAACGCTGCTTCCTTCAATGCCCTCTTGGTATACATAGAGGTATTTGTATATAGATTACTCTCTCTCCTTTCATTTTTCTTGATTCTTTTGTTCTAATGAGTAAATCTTCAATTGGATTGTTATAGCACCGGTATTATGGGAAATCAGTGCCATTTGGATCCAGGGAAGAAGCATTGAAGAATGCAAGCACTATTGGGTATTTCAACTCAGCTCAAGCTTTAGCAGATTATGCAGCAGTGCTCAATCATATCAAGAATACACTACATGCCCAAAATTCTCCAGTGATTGTAATTGGAGGATCATATGGAGGAAGTTAGTTGGTTCCTTCAAATTAGCCTTTATTTTCCAAATTTTTACCCTGGTTATGATCATTAATTTTGAGTTTAACTTTGATGCACTGTGTAAAGACTTTTACACAGTTAACTAACTAATCAGAGATGACTACTGATATAATTTTTAATGTAGTATCGTAAAAATCAACAAACTTACTTTATATAACAAATTGTTATTAGATGATAGTATAAAAATATGTTTGTTTTATGCAGTGCTTGCTTCATGGTTTAGGCTCAAATATCCCCACCTGACAATTGGTGCTTTGGCCTCATCAGCTCCAATCCTATACTTTGATAAAATCACGCCACAAGATGGTTACTACTCTGTTGTCTCAAGGGATTATCGAGTAATTTACCATAATTTGATACTTCTGTCTTGTAATAATTTACTTTTTTCATGAAATGCTTGAAGGTTGTTAATTTGATGAAGAAGTGATGTGCAGGAAGCTAGTGAGACATGCTACAAAACTATACTACAATCCTGGAGTGAAATTCACAGAGTAGCTTCTCAACCAAATGGTCTAATCACTCTCAGCCAGATATTCAACACTTGCCAGTACAAACACCATTTTCCCTCTTCCTCTTGTTTGTCAAGAAATGGTCAATGATTCTGTAATAATAATGAATAGTATATGGTGTTAATTAAGATTTATATTCCATTACTCAGTGTGAGTGTCACATTTTGCAGTACATTAAACCAACCTGATGCATTGATCAACTACCTAAGATGGATGTATGCTTATGCAGCTCAATATAATCAACCTCCAAAATATCCAGTTAATGTGATTTGTGGTGGCATTGATGGAGCTTCTCTTGGAAGTGATATTCTAAGTAAGATATATGCAGGTGTTGTGGCTCTGAGGGGAAACACCACATGCATAGTTAATGGCCCAACTAATGTATCTGAGACAACTGTGGGATGGAGATGGCAGGTAAACATGATTAATTTCATTTAAAACAGTGATTAAGGTGTTTAGCATTTTCCTTAATTTGCCTATGCTTAGTGACATCATTTGGTAATAGCATTGATTCCTTCAATTGAATTCCTCATCTCCTTGTCATGAATATGACATTCTAACTGAAACATTAAATGTTTTAAGAGAAAAATTATGAAATATGGTTGCATTTCGTTAGTTACTTGTCTACTGGCTACCTTGCTTCTTTTTGTTTTTAAATCATCGTTGATTATGTCTAATGAGACATTCAAATAATTTTCATGTAAAAAAGAACCTTACCAAAATTTCTGATTTTAAATAATAAAAACAGTATAACTTAGAGGAACAGAAAATATAGGAGATTAAGAAACACAAGAGAGAAGTCAAAACTGCGAACATCGTACAAAATTTGTTCTTCACATGACTAACTATTGTTTTATGGGTAATTTGGTTGAACATATCTTCATAAAAATGGAGGGTAGATATTTAATGAATTAGGTTGGCATTCATATTCCAGTGAAGACTAGTCAATAGTCCATTATAAAGATACCACATGCTCAATAATTGTATTAGAAAGCAAAAATTTAGGAAAATTAAGTTAATAAGATACTCCTTCATTCTTCTTTCAATTGTTGGATTTTTAGAGAAATTTTGTTATAACCTTTTTTTAATTATTTTTTTATCCATTATACTCTTGTGTGTGTGTTTAATCTTTGAATAATTTATACATGCATTTATTGGGTTAGATGAAGATAGAAAATGGTAAACTATAAAACTGTACAACTATTTAATAGAATAGAGAAATTATTATATTTTTTTCTTCCAAAACACTATGTTTGGTTACAATGAATGAAAATGTAAGAAAATGAGAGAAAAAAAAAGTAAAAAAATTGAATTTCATTTGAGGATGAGAATCTGATATAAAAATGAAGGAAA